GCAGCCTTCTTCCCATCATATCCCAGTATGTTCGATATGAATACACCACTGGCCCTCTTCAGGGCCACACGATGTGCAAGGGTTATTTCAATGAGCTATGATTTGGCGAAAAAAATCGTAGGAACTTCTTTTTTTTTTAAATTGAAGAGAAAGTATACACTTTTTGATACCGTAAGCAGAACTGGCGAAGAAAAATTACTACACTCCGCACAGTGCGTCAAAGCGTACAATTTTTTAGAGAAAAAACATGGTCATGATTTTGAGAAAGTTCCGGGAAATGGGAAGAGTGAATGCTAATTCCAATAAGAGCTTCTTAAAGCAGAGACTTTGCCCTATAAAATGAAAAAAACTTTTCAATTCGACCAGTTTTCGCGAAGTTACGCTTATTTGAAATTCGCCAAATTTTGATGTAAATTTCTTGTTGCGTTAATTTTTTTGACCAGTGTATAATAAAATATAACTTGAGATATTCGTGCTGTCAGCACGAATTTTTTAGTTTTGAAAATATTTGACGTTATTAAGAATTGAAATCAGAGTATTTTCACTATCAAAAGTTTAGGTTCATAAGTGAATAAAATTGCAAATAATTCAGGAAAAAACATTTGTAAAGTGAAAAATACCTTTGTAGGAGTACAAATAAGACTCCAACTATCGTTCAAGTTTCTTACATCTAGCTAGATTTACTATGCGTTAACAGTAGATATTTAAGTATTTTCAATTTCATGCACTTTTGCCTAAGATTGTACGTCCAAAAATACATCCTTAAGGATCTTATTCACTTACTAGTTATCTTGAATGGATGGCGTCGAAAGTGAGAAGATACAATATGGAATGTCTTGCAACGTACAAAATAAAAATGTTTCTCAATAAAATACCATTTGTAATTAATAGAACAAACTTGTAAAATATATTGAAAACTATCCTTTTATTTGGATAAGCAATAAATAACACATATATGAGTTATATCTAATCAAGACTATGTGACGACTACCGAATTGAGATAAAAATTTGCTTTTATATGTTCAATTATAGCAAAATAGGAGTCTTTAATAGTACAATTATTTTAAATGTAAAAGCACTATATTAAAACAAAAAATGTACGTTGCAAGATTGATTTAGTTTTTGCCATCAGTTTTTACGCCTTATAGTTTACAGTTTTGCCAAGCGTGTGTATACACGGACTAGGCGATCAAGTCAACAGGAGCCTTAACATATTATATATCCAATTGTAGGAAAATGTGTATCTCGACAAACGTAGGAGATATATGCGCTTTTGAGGACACACTCGACACGTTTAAACGAGTGCAAATCAGATGCATCAGATATGACAAAAGTTATTCTGAGGATGAAAAATTCGTAGATGTAAGATGTATCGACAGTGGTATTATACATGAACGTATCGATGTAAGATTATTTTTTATTACTTGATATTACGTTCAAGTTTTGCACTAACATGTTGACTGACACGTCACCGTATATTGTTGACATTGTATTTTCATAGGAGGTTTCGTCACCAAATATTGATGGCAGTATTTTGCCCATTCGAAGGTCCGTCACAAGTATTTGGAGACATTCTATGTAGTTTTTGATTCATTTTAAATTACATGGCGTACAATATGAAACCTTTCGGTGTAGCCTGGCTTCACAAGAAGTTTGAAGGAATTATTAACAGTCTATTGTATCATGAATACTGAAGAATAATATTATATTTATGGGAATAAAAAAGCAGTTATATTTAAAAAACTATACCGATCGTATCAATCGGATTAGTGTACTACCATACCATATTATTGGTAATTTAGATTCAAAATGTGAAAAAGATAATCGTGGCTTATGGGATTCATTTTTCGATACTCACCCTTGACAGTCAACATGTTAAATATTTTCCTTTGACAATATATTTCTCAAAATAATATAATATTTATAATATAAATTGTCGTATTTTATACATATTATACATATGAGATATAATTTTGTGACTAAGTATATTATTTATATTTCTTCTCTCTTGTATAAACAAGTTTTTTGGTATTTTAGGTACGTAAATTACTGCACATGCCTGAGGAATTAGCGAATCTCCCAACACACGTTGTTGAAATATTTTTATCTAATTTAATACCGTGGGACAATGAATGTACATGGAATCCATGTACTAACGAACAGGTGCACAAGTGGTTCGAAGAAAATTTCGAGGAAAGGTCTTATATCTTCGGGAAAGTAAGTTTGTCAGATTAGTGAGAGAAAAATTAATAAGAGAAGAAGAATATACGAGGAAATTGTTCGCAGGTTTGCCTCCATCTTGGAAATACAATATGGTTAGACGATTTGAAAATTGGAACAAAGTTAATTGACCATCCCGATTTAATAGGATCCTCTTTAGAACAGAAACTGCGCCAAGGGAATTTTGCAGTTTTTAAAGACGATCACTTATCGAAGCTGTTCGAACTTTGCAGAAACAGCGGGTTGACAGAAATCAATGGTCGCGACATAAGTGCTGCAGATAAATGAAGCTGTTCACTATGAGCGATATTCATAGTCAGATTTTATATTTAAAATCGCTTTAAGATTATCTTTAGATACTCCGTAGACAATAAAACGTTCCATATCTCATCTTAAGATTTGACTATGAATACCGACCTATGATTTGTATCTTTAAAATAATGAGTGACTTTAGATGGAAAGTATTGTTTTCTTAACACATATTTATAAGAAAAGATTGGCATCTATTTTCATCTATTTTGTATTTTTTTTAACTGTGAACTTTGTATACTAGTAGATGTAGAGCTGTAGAAATTTCCCTTGGATCATCCCGTAATAAATACGGTTTTGTAAATATTTTTCCAATGCAATGCAAAATTCAACATTTTAATTTTAATCCAAAATATGTATTCTCCATTATTATCTACAATTTTTTCCTATTTTTCTTTTTCCGTTACTTCTAGATACGAAAAATGAAAGGATCAGTGAAATCGCTCTTTACCCTGTAGGCATACTTACTGTTGCATTTTCTTTTATTTTTCAATATTGTGAAATCAAGAATCAAATTTTTTTTCTTTAGAGAAAAAGAAATACAAGTGATCAAAATAAATGAGAGGAGTCCTAGAGATTTCGTATCCATAGTTGATAAATTTTTTGAGACTGTGTGTGTCAAAACTTAATAATAAAGTATCAACTTAGCAACTGAAGAATGCAAAACTGTTTGTTTTAATCTTTAAATAATGAATGTAATATGAAATAACTGAACTTAGTACTAAAGTGTATTTAAAACATACTAAATATACTGGATTATTGATATAAACAATGATCAATTGCGCTTTTTTTATTTGATATCGCGCTATACTCTGTGTATTTATATAAAGTAAATTTGTTCCATTCCTTTTATTGCATATTTGTTTCGTTGTTGAAATTTGTGTATACAAATGTACATTTTTGTTTTTTTTTACAAGTTTGCATGTTACAAAAATAGTTATGTTAAATAAAATAAATTTACTACACCCTAAGTTTTATGTATGAACGTTTTTTGACCTGTGTAATCTGAGTTTGAGATCCGTTAGATCAGATTGACTGAAGTTTCTTTGCATACGTATTATTAAATTGAGATTAGCGGTATATCGGCCTCTTTCAACATTTCAATTCGCTTACACAGTGTTTCGGTACTAAAATAAAAGATTTTTGGATGCCTTATTATGTCGTCGCCGGTTATACCATTTTGTCGCAGCACATTGATCAATTTAATCAACTTTTTTAACTTCACCCGTAAGATAGTCGGACGTTTTGTAATTACTTCTTCAAGGAGCTTCTCGTCCACGTTTAATTGGTCAATTAAGTAGTTCTTAACACTTCCATGTTCTTGCAACAGTCTCTGCTGTTCGTTAGTCACCTCTATGTACCTGTGTAAACAATAAAAATTGAAAACAGTCAAAATTAGATTACGTTTTATACTTAGTTTCTATATATTTTTTTATTACTTTTACATACTGATCAAAAATTTGCTCAGATTGTGTTAGCATTGTAAGTTTCGGAAGAAGACCTTCTTTCTTAAAGATTTCGATTCGTTTCTGTACAGTTTCTATATTAAAATAGAAGATTCGGGCATGCCGTAAGATTTCATCGCTAGTAATTCCATTCTGGTGCAGTATATCGATTAACTGATCCAATTTCGCTATGTTCACCCGTAAAATACCTGGCGATTTCTTGGTCACCGTATTGAGTGCTTCTTCATCGACTTTCAATTTTTTTTGCAAATATTCGCTAACATTCTCACATGGTCGCATTAAGGTACGTTCCACCTTATTCTTTTGTATGGCCCTATACGTGAACACACACATATTTTGTACTCTTTCACTATTTTTAAATAGTGTTTATTTTACCTGACAATATATTTCTGCAAATGTCTTTTTCACGGATTAAAGAATAGAAAGTAGGTTCGAAAAGTTAACAGAAATCGCAGGAATATATAAGAAAAATATTGGGTCAGGGAAAAAATTTCTTCATACTTTAGTGCAAAAGTGAAACAGTTTTTCTTTCATATTGTAAATGAAGTTTATTAAACCAAATATGTGCCGTTTTGTTCGACCACGTTTTGCCATTTTTCAGGTAAACCCATAATCTCAACGCTGTAGTACTTTTGTGATTTCTGGGCGAAAAACTGCGACAAGTGATTTTCACAGGCCTCTTTTGAAGTCAACTTTACACTTTGCGAGTTCTGTAGAAACCGAAACAAGTGGTAGTCCGATGGTGCAAGGTCGGGACTACACGGTGGATGCATCAAAACTTGCCAGCCAAGCTCTCGCAATTTTTGACGGGTCGTCAAAGATGCGTTCATTAAATTTTTTAATCATGTGGCATACAAACATCAAGTTATTTGTATCCAGCCTTCTTCAACCGGTTTCAAATTATTTTGTGGTTGATGTTTAGTTCCCTACTAATATCATGACTGCTAATGTGCCGGTCTTGCTCAATTTTTACCACGATTTCATCGACTTTTCCAATTGGACGACCAGACCGAGGTGCATCTTTGATATAAAAATTTCCATATTGAAAACGCTTGAAGCAGCTTGGTGCCTACGTGTTGAAACTGCATCACGTTCATAAATATCAGAAAGAACCCCGCACTAATCATATATAGGAAATTGGATCTCGGTTAAATTGGCTAGTTTTCACATATGTGTACCTTATGACCTGCTGAACAAAAAATATAATGGGCTCAAACTTAAATAATGGCTAGTTACTGAGCTACAGCCAGTCAAACATGGAAAATTTGAGCTCCGCGGGTCCTGTTTGGAAATACTTTGAAGCATATTAGGAAAAAATGTTTCAGACAAAAGTTGTTTGGTTCGAAGGGAGACATAAGACGATGCCATTAATTTGACCTTGGATAATCATTTAAAGGTCACATGAAGGTCAATTTCAATTTCTTAAATGGACACCCCCATTTTTCATTGCACATTTTTATGTCAAGAGTTTTTCAAAGACACTATATAATGAGATATAGTCTTATTATGAGATATAAGCTACAGCATATGTGAAAACTAGCCAATTTAACCGAGATCCAATTTCCTATATGATTAGTGCGGGGTTCTTTGTTTAGCAGCCTGAGTCGCATTCTTCCCCTTTTTATAATAAAATTTCAAAATGTATCAAATTTTTTATTTCACTTATTTTTAAGACGCAGTAAGTTTTGACTGAGTAAATAAATATCACGACTCCTTTCTTTAATTTCTCTATGATATGTCACTTTTCAAACGCACACAAGTATTGCCAGATTCGATTAGCATTACCAGAGTTATGCGATATAACCATCTACCAGGAGAATACAGAGAAACTTTTTCCCCAACCCAATATAATGGGAAATTAAAAATAAGAAATATCTCCCATCTCATTTTATCATCAAGTCTACCTTGATATAACTTTAAGCGGACACCGTATAGCCCATGTCTTTATCTTCAACTGTCCCGTATCTTT